GAGAAGAGAAGAGAAGAGAAGAGAAGAGAAGAGAAGAGAAGAGAAGAGAAGAGAAGAGAAGAGAAGAGAAGAGAAGAGAAGAGAAGAGAAGAGAAAGGGTGTGGAGAGGATTTTCCTAATTGATCCCTGGTTTCAACTAAATCAATAGTTCTGATCCTATATGTTTATTGAAGACCAACTGACTAAATGTCAATGTTTAATTTTTCAAGCCTATTATATGCACTGGAGAACGAACCAAAATCAATATGGTGACCATAGAATTACATTATGGATAGAAAGGTCTTCTTACTCTTAATGGACAGTGGGGGGAAGACTGACTCAGGAATGTTTTAGTGCAGCATGTACTTTTTTCCATTACTAAATATGTAAAACAGAGACATCAGTGAGGGAGAAAGACAAGATTCACATAGGCAGAACTTTCAGCTGCTCTCTCAACCACAGTATAATGGGTGTCCTATTGTAGAAGCTGCAGTAGAAATATTTCATATGATGTGGTGATGGAAGTAGAGCCAAGCGAGATGAGGCAATAAAGAACAGTGATCAGTTCTCTGTCTTTTACGGTTTTTTACCCAGTAGTTGCTGCTTCAAATATATCAGCCCTCTGGATTGGAATTAAAGTGCTGGAGAAGGGAGCTAATGCTTTCATTCTGGATTGTTTTCTTCATGAGTCCCCACTTATTACTCTTCTCTTTTTGGAGAATAGCTTGGATTCGTGTACATTTTCATCTATTGACCAAACAGGACAGGATCCTCTCTTAGCATTTAGCTCTAATCCAGACCCACATAATGTCTTTGATGATCAGCTGCTAGAATTTGGGGCGGAACCAGGGAAGGAAGATTAGATGCAAGTCTGGCGGTGGCTTCCTAGAGCTTGAAGGATATTGCTTGGTGTGAATAGCAAAATCTCTCGTGCCAAGCAGGAAGTAGCATTTTTTCTTCTTCTCTAAGTATTGAATGGTTTTCCCTGAATAGATCAGGGAAAAAAAAAATAAAAATTGAAGGTCTTAAGACCTCTACATTCATCTGAGAATCATTGCAAAATAAAGAATGTTTCATCAATTGAAAATGAGAACAGAAAATGGACATCTTGACTGTTTTTGTTTTTGTTTTGTTTTTTGTTAAATCAGGACCAACTAATTGTTTTAAGTTTTGATGCAGCCTTCTCTCTTCCGCTGCCTTCCCAAAGTGGGGTGAATTCCAGAGAATTCATGGTTGTTTTGCAGTTAGCTAGAAGTCCAATTTGTTCACTCATGTTGGAGTTTTTTGTGGAGGAGTTAAACCACGATTTAAGCCATCTGTGATTCCTCTCCCACTCTATTTGTAAGAACTTGGCTCACATTTGATTGGGTATTGGTATCACAGAAGCCGCCTATTTTCCTACTGCTGAGTTTAAAGCTGTCTATTGAACAAGTCAAACCAATTGAATATTCATGGAGTTCTGTTATTTTATAGCTACGCTGCTGTTGTCATATGCAAGGGAAATGTGAATTTTAGTCTGAATTAAACCTGAGAGAAGCTACATTTTCAAAGTATGTTCTGTGCATTTTTTTTTTTATGTTATTGTTCAGGTTTGCATTTCAGAGTGCAGTTGACCTAAATCCTTCTGCCATGAAGGATTCCAGCTTGAAATGAATGTTCTTTTTCTTAGGTGCAATATAGTTCTGAGTGCCAGAACTAACGTAACGTGAATTGTGTAGCTGCTTCTGGAAACAACTTGCTCCTTTTCTTCTTGCCATAGTGTTTGAATTACAAAAGGCTGCCAATTTCTTTGCCCCAAAAGAAGAAGCGTCTGCAGTTAGGGGTGGAGTTAGTGGTAGCCGGATAGATACAGGAAGTGTAGGAAATTTAAAACAATTGCGATGTCATCTTATTTGTTTACTTTATAACTCCAAGGAGTTCCTCCAAGGAGGAAACCACATCCCACCAAAACTGTCAGGGCAAACTACTATATAGAAACAGGCAGCACACCTCAAACTCACTTGTACTGATGATGTTACCTAGTTGGGTAATGAAACATCTGCAAGCAAACAACTAAGCTCAGAGAGCACCAAGAACTCCAAATATTTTATAACTCTTTGGAGAAAGAAGAAATGAAATGCTCTGTTTGTTTTGTTTTTTTCAGAAGCAGCCACACGGTTCCATTCATCCTCCTCAATAAAACTCAGTTTAGATGCAGATGCACAAAGTTTTATATTCTTTCCAAGTATTTCATATTTGCCTCTCCATTTTTCTCCCTTTCTAACCAACTTTCAGCCAAATCAATGAATTTATCACTTCCTTTGACGCCTGAGTCACCAAAGTAAGTATCAAGAACTGTAAATATTTATAACAGGGAGGGGGGTTTAAATACAATTTGGCTACAGCAACTCCATTTCAGCTTGTTTTTATAAATGTGCCCTGTCTTCCAGTGATCCGAAGGGTTCCCCATTTGAGAACAAGACTATTGAACAAACTTTAAGTGTGGAACTCTGTGGAACTGCAGGTGAGATGCATATATTTATTTATAATATATCTGCCTTTGGTGCAGGTTTTATTAATAGCTTGACATTATGAAGTGCATAGTGATATGTTACTGTGGTCTCTTAAATTAATTTTAATACCATTTAAGAATGATTTCCCCCCCCACACACATAATTCCCCCAGATGAGATTTGCTTTAAAGTTATGATTTCATAGCTGCGTAGCATAACTTAATGGAAAAAAGAATGAAATAATTTCAATGGGAATGAGTTTGTGGTTCCCTGATGTCTTTGTAGTACTAAAGATATGTTTTCATGGAGTTTTCTTTTGCTTCTCTTCCCTTTTATTGAATCTTTTGCCCAGTCTGCACATGCATGTTCAACTGCATGATTAGAGATGACGTGTTTGCATGGTAAGCAGTCATGGGTACTGATGATCAAGTCTGGACACTGCTTAAAGTACTGGGTCTTTCAGGAGTGATGCTTCGCAGATTTAGTAAGACACAATTACAAACTGAAAGTTCCATGTGTATATGGACTTCATATAGAGACTCTGCAGTAGACCTATCCCTGTCTGATCAATTTTTAGTTTCTGTTTACATTAGAGGGGAATGTTGCCAAATTATCTTTACTAGGTCAGACCCTAAGGCCTTAGTTGTCTCCAAAGAAAACACAGAACATTCATGGAGCAAATAGTTCTCCTGTTCTCCTTTATCTTCAGAAAGGTTTTGTTTGTGTTTATATTTTTACAGTATCTTGCATATCAGAATGAAGGTCTCGACCAGGAACATGTTTTCTTTTAAATGGTGTTGCCCCAACTTTGATAATGTAAACAAAGAATGGATTCCAGTTTTATTGTGTGCCTTTCTTTTATTTCTTTTGTACATTCCTAACCTATCTTCATCTTTCCCAAACATCTAGGCCTTTAGTGGTTAAGAGTGCAATCCTATACAGTTTTAATCAGAAATAGGTCCTTTTCTATTCAGTGAGGTTTATACCTTGTTAGAAAGTATATTTTTGCATTCCAATAATATAGTTCCAATAGGACTTTCTTTCATATTCATTCTGCTCTGCCTTCCAAAAATTGTTAGGCTGTTGCTTGATGCTGAAGTTTATGGATCAGATCAAGTCTATTTTTAAATAATTCTGTTTTCATAAATGTATTCTAGATGTAAGTAAATATCTACACTTTGATAAGTTGGAATGACTCTAATAATTACATGGCCTAAGCAAAACATGACTCTTTTTAAAATTACTAAAATCTATAACAAAAACAATACTTTTTTAGAAGCATAGCTCTATCTTTTAGTAGACTTTGATGGAAGAGAGCCATGTTAGTCTAGGGTCACCAACACAAACTGCATCTTTTAAGACTAATCAATTTTTATTTTAAAGGGTAAACTTTTGTAAGCTCTCTTAAAAATAGTTTAGCCTTAAAATTTGCTACCAGTCTCTTTCTGATTTTTAGCTCCATCTTTTAATGTTAGTTCTAAAAGTAAATTTAATATTCGTCTCTTAAACACTGAATTTTCAAATAATTTAGATCGCTTCTGTCAAGTGGGTAATTTTAATTTAGTTTGGGTTCTTTAGTGTTTTACTCAATGCACATAAGAAACAGGCAGGACTTCAATTACACTGTCATGACCTCCATCTTGACTTTTTTTTACCATATCTTGTGGACATCCCTGATTCAGTGCAAATAGAAAGGTGGCATATAGATCAATTTAAAAATAAAATACATCCAGGGTTATGCATATGTGCAATTTGTCACGCCAGGACAAAATATATGCAACTAATGCTGTAGAATCAATTTGTGTGCTTGTTAATATGACTAAATCTCATGGGTTAAAGACCACAGATTGGTTGCACATTCAGTTGTGAGTCATATGAATATATAGCAGCCACATAATGGGTGCAAGTTACTTACAGAAACTATTAAAAAAATGGAGAATGCTGAGTTGAAAGTTTTCAGTGAACAAAAAATAGGTTTCAGTAGTTCTGGACAATATCCAGAAAGCCATCTAATTAAGGCCTAAATAATGTGTTGAAACCAGAAGCATCCATGGGAGCAGGGAGTGTCAAAAAATTCAAGATGATGACCACAGTCATGCAGCCAAAGTCTAGCCCCTTCATTACGTGAATCACAGCTGAGGTCTTGGTGACTTCACAGATGTAACCTATTAGTTTTCTTGGCAATAATATGGAAATGTTTTATCATTGTCTTATTCATCATTGCTAACATCAAATAATAATGTCTATCCATCTTCTTTCCTTCCTTCCTTCCTTCCTTCCTTCCTTCCTTCCTTCCTTCCTTCCTTCCTTCCTTCCTTCCTTCTCACTTTGAGATGCATATTAGGAACTTTGCAGCTTTGAATGGTTCATTATGAGATGTAAAATTTGAAAGCTCTAATTTTTCTTTTAAAAAATAGAACTTTCTTCATCTGTGTTTTGCAGGTGAAGAGGTTGTCTGAATTGTGGTGGTTCCCTTCTTTTCTATTTTCAGTTATTTTTAGGCCAAGGGAGATACCTTAACAATGGTCTTCCAGTTTATCCAGGTCATCTGAGGTCCAGATAAATACCTACAAATGCTGCACATTTTACATCCCTTACTGAAATATGCCTGCTCCCTTTAGAAAAGAGGTAGTCTCTGTGCACATTTCCTGCTAGTAAGTTTATAGAGCTTCTTCTGTCAGCTCCATCTGCAAAGGCAAATATCTTAGGTAACTCCCACTTTAGTTGAAAAGCAACAGCCCCCCCCAAACCCAACCAAAATTACTTTTGACAAATAGTAGAGGTCACAGATGCCCCCATGCGAGCCCAAATTACAGCTGCAGAGCGATATTGCATCTTCTGTTTGTGTAGTTCTTGTGCTGCTGTGGCTCTATTTATAACAGTTTAAATAGCAGTTGCCTTGATCTCAGTGTTGAACTGAAAAGGCCATTAGCGAGCCTGTTCATGTTATCAAAGCACAAACTATGATAATATAAATAGAAACTTCCTTGATCTTACTCCTCTCTCTCTCTCTCCCTCCACTGCCCTCTCTTTTGTAACACAAATGCTAAACCTTTTTTTTTTTTTGCTTGTATATCAGGGATGAACATTGATAAACAGAGGGGGAAAATGCCAGGATGTTGTTTGCAAGTTTGCAAGAACCTCTGCTATTGTATTTTATCTGTGGATGAATCTCCCCCTTTTCTCTCTCTCTCTCTCTCTCTCTGTTGACTTCCTGAAAGATTTTGCTTGCTTCTTGTTACTATTCCCTGCCTTTAATCCAACAAGTACAACAATCTAACTCTGCCTTGTAGATGGGAGCCCCTTTAATGGCTATATAGATGAGAGTGACATTTTATGTTTGGAATAAGATAGTAACAATATTGAGATTTTTTTTTCAACTGATCTAGCCCAGAACTGGGCTAACTTTAAATCTGATCGGATCCTTATTAATTGTAACTTTTTCAGGAAGAAATACAGTCACAAATCTTTTAACGGTTTAGGTCAGGGCTAGAAAATTTAGAATCCTAATTTAGCAGAGGGCAAAACAGGTGTGTCCAGGAGGGTTCAAAAATGACAAGATGGTGACCACAACATGTCTGCACACTGCTTTTTACATACATTGCACACACAGTGTACTTTAAAAAAGGGCAAGCTGTGACAGCCTCCATCTTTTTTTACCTCCCCTCAATAACCCTAGGCCAAAATATAATTCAAAGACTTGCAACAGTGTTTTGGGTGACTTTAGCTATAAAACAGTGTACACCAAATGGAGATTCCATGTTCAGAAGCAGTAGAACTCAGTGTGCCAGATGTCAGGGATAAACAGGGAAAGTACAGCAGCATTTAAATTTTGTTGGTACCCAGTTAGGAGTACATTGAATGGATTGGGTAGCTTATGCAACTTGTTACACTCCAGATGTGAAGCCATTATGGAAAGAGAGAAACTTCTTTGGAAAGTTGAATTAAATGAACCCATGTTCGGCACCATTATTGTCCAAACCAAAGTAGGGAATTTGTAAAATCAACCAGTTTTAGTGAGAGAGGCACAATTTAAATTTGTCACATCATGTATTGGTGTAAACATCTGCAATTGAGCTATTCTGAATTCTGTAAACTTGTATGTCTTTGTGTGAGAGGATTTGGAATTGTTTCCTGTTGTGGCACAAATGCTTTAGTACATTAGCAGCAGACTCTCACAGGTTTTGCCTATTACCTGTTCTGTTCTGGTCTCTGAGATACTCCAAAAATGTGATATTCTCTGAACATGAGTCAAACTTGCATTGAAACTGTTGCATGATGAAGAACCAAATCAAGTTACGCAATTGCTTAAAAGTACAGTCATGTGTTAATAATGCAAAATCAAGAAATACGAGTATAGAATTGGGTTTTCTGTGGAATTCCATTGCATGTCATTGCATAACATAGTACAAAATCCAGAAATACGTATGATTTTCCTCTGTTTGTTCCACCTCTCTTGAGTGGACAGTAAGACAGTAACTCCTTTTAAAATCATACCTATATTCTGATCACCAATCAGTGACCTGTGGTCATTGGATTTGGAAAATGTTCAAGCACTTTTGGTTATTGAAAAACACCCCATACTCCAAGGTGATAGTGATAAACAGCACATATACAGGCTGTAATGAATATAAAAAAGTCAAGGTAGATTATACTGATGAGAATCAGTGTGGTTATAATGGTTCAAGTGTTGAACTAGGACCAAGGAGACCCACGTTCTAGTTTACCCTTAGCCCCAGGACTCTGGGCTGGTCATTGCCTCTCAAATCAAGCTCTCTTACAGGGTTGTTGGAGGGAAAATTTGGAGCAGGAAGTGCTCTGACTTGAGTTCCTGGAGGAAATGTAGGATAAATGGAAAAGTCAAACCAACAAATAATTAATAACTTTACGGCTTGAATTATCCAATGTCTGGATCAGATTCTGTCCCAGAGATTATTGTGCAGCTTTTCACAGTGGAAGAGTTAATGAAGGGAGAACCAAGTATAGGAAAGAGAAAGGTGAGAGGCATAGAA